TGAACTTTGCGAAATGATTTATTACAGAAAGGCTTCACATCTGATGGCAATCAACAACAACTGGGTAAAGATTGAATTGTTATGTAATAATGGCTTAAGCATTTTTTAAGCATTATTTTTAAAACTGAAGAATAGTGTTCAGAGATTAAAGAAAGCTAAACGAAGAGAGTAGCCAGGAAATTAAAAGGCGCATTGTCATGGGAAAGTCTGCCGTTAGGGACCTCTCCAAAGTACTGAAGAGCAATGGTGTCTCTCTGGAGACATTTGATACAGGCCATGGTCTTTGCAATCACTTGTTATGCATCAGAGAGTTTGACAATGACCAAGGAGGACAGAAAGAGAATTGATGCCTTTGAGCTGTGGTGCTGGAGAACAGTATTGAGAATACCATGGACTGCTAGGAAAACAAACAGATTCATCCTGGAAAGGGTTAAACCGGGTGGCTCCTTGGAGGCAAGGATTCTGAGGCTCCGTCTAACATACTTTGGACATGTTGTAAGAAGAGACCGGCCCTTGGAGAAGGACATCATGCTTGGGAGGGTGGAGGGACAGCGCAGGAGAGGAAGGCCCTCTGAGGTGGATTGATTCAGTGTCTGGGGTAGTCGGGATGGTAGTGTCAGAGACAGTGTGACTGGCACAAGACAGAGCAGAGTTTAGGGCTGTTGTACATAGGGTCGCTATGAGTCACAAGCTACTTGACGGAACATAACAAGTTATAAAACTTCAGTGAAGATATTCAGACTGTTAACAGCTTTAGTTTGCTCAGCTCCACAATCAACACTCTTGGTACCAGTGGTCAGGAAAATCAAAAGATGAATTGCAATGGGAAACTTACGGGACCCCTGCAGAGCACTGAAGAGCAACGATGTCCGGAGACAAAGGTGTGCCTGATCCAGACTCTGGTCTTCATAATTACATGTTGTGTATTAGAAAGTTGGAAAATGACTCAGAAGAGGAATTGATGCCTTTGAGCTGTGGTGCTTGAGGTGGACTGACTCAGTGACTGGGGTTATGGGAGTAGGTGTGTCAAAGACAATCAGGTTGGCTCAGGAAAGAGCAGGATTCAGAGCTGTTGTACACAGGGTCGCTATGAGTCGCGAGTGACTGGATAGCACATAACAACAGTTATAAAACCAGACTTGGAGCAGTTAAGTTTCTATACTGTAGGATCATCTAGGGACTTGAATAAATGTCTCAGGGTAGGTATGAGGGAATCTGATACAGCAAGAACTTATTTTCCCTTTTACCAGAAAACACTGGGTCCTTAATTATCTTAGGATGAAATACAAGAAATTACTGTCAGGCAATCATGTTTGAGTTATGAAAATTACTTCATTTGGTTTATAGTTTAAAGGTCACAATAATCCAAATTAGAGCAATTAATCAAAGTTGATGTTAACAATTGGGGGGGGGAGCAGAGATGGGACAAAACCCAAATCTGATCAGTCATATATATATAATTTTTATAGTGTAGGGACCACATCTAAGGTATGAAGCCCCAAGGAAACTACTAATTTCTCCCTTACCAGTAACTAGTTTCTGGGCTCCACAGCCTTTCTCAAGAGAACTTACCCTTTCAGTGGTTTATATTACTCAGATTATACCCAGTTTTTCCATTTTTCGTAATAGCTAAATGGCTGGCCTAAATTAAAGTCGAAGAGGAAAAGCAAATTGAGCAAATTGTTTGAAGGATAGTTTATTGTTTGTCCGTTAAGTCAGATTCATGTACAATGTCATCCTTCCTATTCCCAAGATCTGTCTCTGATTGCTCATGTCAGCATTTCCGAGAACACATTTGACTCAGAATTTTCCTTTTCTCAACTAAATCTGGTCTTTTATCTTTATCAGCAATTTACCAAGAACAGATGGTATTAGAAGATTTGAGCTTACACACTGAAAAATTAAGGTGGATGAAAATATAGCACTGTCACCAGGCTTTAACCACTGAAGGTCAACAGTTCAAATCCACCAGTCTTCCTGTAGGAGAAAGATAAGCAGTCACAGGCCCCGAAGCCTAATGATGACTGGCCAGCAGTGGGTTGATTTGAGGCTCCCTCCACTGCTAAGTACACTGGTTAGGCTTGAAGCCTCACCTCTTGTTGTTAGGTGCTGCCAAATCAAGTATGATTCATAGCTACCCTGTGAACAAAAGATCTGAACCCCATTCTATCCTGCACCATCCTGACACACACATAAGCCCATTCCTAACATGCTCTAAATATTTAAACTATGAAAACCTGAATACTTAATGTTCTGATTCCATTTCTCTAGTGGCCTTTCTTCGCAAGATCAGAGCTACTGTACATAGGGCTGCTATGAGTTGGAGAGAAACTTGGGGGCACCTAACAATAGCCTAAATGGGTACATTTTAGGAAGCCTGATAGTTCACTGGTTCCATCACTCCACAACTGAAAGGTGGGTAGCTGGAAGCCACCAGCTGCTCCCTAAGCCTGTGGCGGTCAGTTTTTTGAAGAGTTTACCACCTCAGAAACCCTACGGGGCAGCCCTGGCACCATCCCTCCAAGTGACTGAGTAGGAACAGTAAGTAGATGGCAGTGGGCGTGGAATGGCTTTGGTTGGTACATGTTGCCCAATTCTCTTCCCATGTGCTTTTGCCTTTCAAGCACAATTCCAAAGTTCTATCTAAGGATGCTGAAATATTGGTATTTTTGAAAGTCCATGAAAAGCCACCACTATTGAAAAGGCTTTAGCTTACTTGCAAAGAGCATTTCTTATTACTTACATTACTCTGTTACAATAGCCAGTGACTGCTATAAATTACCACCAAGTTGGGGAGAACAAAAGAAATAAACACCTCAACTGGAGGAAGGAGTCAAACCAACATAGAAATGGTCAGAGCCTGAAAATACGATCCCTGTTAGGACTCATTTAAAACAACTGAACTGGGATAAATGTAATGCTGTGTGACACAGACAAGTGTTAAAAACACACTAGCCATATTTTAATTAAAATAGAGTTTTATTAGCTTTTCTTTTAATATAAACATGAGAAAAACCACATTAAGTTGTAGCATTCTTTTCAAAATAAAACTGCAATCAATACTTGAATTGCCAAGCTCCAAATCCATAAATAATGTTGGGTTTTTTTGAGGTGGTAGATTGTAATATTTTATATACCAGTACTTATCATTTAAGTCTCTGTCCTTTAACAGGATGGAACTTGCAGCACTTAATATAATGTGAAGTTTTATTATGAAATTAGTCCTGGCCCATAAATGCTGTGTGTGCAGGCAAAATTACAGAGTTAAAAATACATTTTATTTCTTAATATTTCAAATTTAGGTGACATTGTTATCAATCTCCTAAAATTACTTACTCCCTTATCCTTTAAAGCCTGAAGTTTGAGTTCTTAAGGCTTGGCAAGTTCTTTCTTTAAATAACAGGACTCAAAATAGGGATTTTAAAAAAAGGACACAAAACAAGTTGTTTTGTATCATCTAATATTAGGGTCCACATTTTTAATATGTGTGAATGATATGACTCTTCAAAATCTTCCTTTAGTAAAACTACATAAAAGTAGGTGAACAAATCAGATAGTGCACAGTCCTGCAAAAAACTACTTTCAAAAAATAAAGAGGAACAGGGACTTCCATGGAGACAGCAGGGCTTCCAAAGGTCTTAGTGCAATTTTCAGCTTTGGTTTATATCTGTGCAAGTATAAATGCCACTAACTTACAGACAGTAATTTTAAAGTTTAATTCTTTAGGGTTCTTTTGAACTTTTGAAAGCTTAGCTCTAGTCAATGTCTGCCATCTCAAAGAGGCATTGAAACAAAAAAAAAATTATATATAAAAAGTATATATAAACTTCACAGTAAAAGAAACTTTCAAACGGTTTCAAACAATGGTGATGGCATCTGCACTGCATTTTCACACAAATAACATGCACATTCTACATGTTTAAACCCTGCTCCCTGCCTCCAAAAGAGAGTTTCAAAAGTGCCTAGTATGCAATTTTCTCCATATATTACTGTTAAGAAAAGTTAACATGGCATTTAAAAAATACCTGGGGGGAGGGGATGGGAGCAGTGGGGAAACAAACATAGCAGGCCAGTGTTATCTGTGTGAAAATACAGTACTTCTGCTGTAGTGTCCTCAGTCTTTTCATTAAAGCTTAAAATTGCACTAAGAAATTCTGGATTCCTCTTATATTACCTGCTCGTTATCACTAGACCACCATACTGAATGGAATTATTAAAATATTTTAAAATATGTTTATACAAGAGTAAAATTATCAGAATATAAGAAGCACCATTTATAGTTCACAAGAAATGCAGCATGGACCCAACAGAAGTAGGTAAGTGAGTCATTAATACTTTCCATGTTTATGATCCAAACATGCTGAAATGTTAAGTAGTACTTGCCAAGGAAATGGATGACAATGTTATCCAGCAGTTTTTGGTTTAACTTGATTGCCAATAATGCCTAGCAGCGTCAATGATATAGTGGGGAGGAAGAACCCTTCAATACCGAATAATGATGCTATGGTCTCTGCTTTTGAAGTGGCTTTTTGAGTTGCTAAGAGACCCCTTTTTTCGTAGTTAATACTGCAATGAGTCTAAAGGTATATGCAGCAATGTTTAAGAGGGGGACAACAAAAATATGAAAAAAAACCAAACCCCTTTACGTGTTATATCATTAGTGTCTTTAAAGTCTAAAAATGTCAACTATTAAAAACCTCACAGTTCACAGCTATCTGCCTACACAGTAAGCGAATGTCTGTGTCTGGGTCGGGAGCTTTCACTTTGTGGAGTGGTTTTTTTAACTCTGTTTACGTTAAAAAGGACAGAAGACCGTGTTAACTGACAAGATCCCATTCTTTCCTATGGCATCATTCTTGCAGTCTGCTGAGTCTCCTGAATTTGCGGTCTTTCCTTTAAATGAAAATACTAAGTTTGCTGGTTTTTGAGCAGAAGAGGTGCTATTTCTCCAGTCTTTGCAGATGAGGAGTTCATGATGTGACAACGCCTCGTGTCTCCCTCTAAGAGATGATGGCATTAGAGCGCTGAATACCAATAAAATTATCAGCGCTGAAAGATCTTCTCATAGCAGCTCTGCACAAGTCTTTGTATTTGTCTTCACACAATCTAGAAATGGCCTGGGAAAGGCAGTAAAATAGAAAACAGACTTAAGAATTTAAAAGAGGAGAGTCCAATCTGAAAAAATGATCACTGACAATAAGCCACTTATCCTGACTCCTTGCAGACAGTTCGTCCTTAAAATAGCAGTAATTTTGGATAGCTGAGATGGTGGGGGATGCTACTTCCTGTCCACTGACTAAGGTGCAAAGAGTTATGAAGCAAATGAAATGAGACAGGCTTGCTGGACTGTGCTTAAATCATTTGCTGTCAAATGTATCCCAACTCACAGTGACTGACAGGACAGACAACCACTCCCATCCCTGTCAGGTTTTCAAGGTGCTACTCCTCAGAGAAGCAAAGCTAACCCATTTTCATCCTGTGAAGGGGCTGATGGATTTGAGCCAACAATTTTATCAGCAGCCAAGCACTGCAACCACTGCACCACTAGGGCTCCTTTAAGCTCTGCCAGAGAGCATGAAAGGTCTACTGGCCAAGGCACCACAACGTGCTATTAAATTCACACTCATTACGGCACAGAAACCTAACCTCCAGGACCACCAGAGTCGGCTTTGACTGCCACCGAGTCCAATCCGATGCTGAACTGGCCCTCCAGCAGGTAGTTATCTGAGGCTGAAAATCACAGGGGAGGGGACTGCCCATTTTTCTCCTAAGGAGCCACTAGTGGACTCGATCCACCAGAGAGGTGCTGCCCTAGGTTAACAGATTAAACCACCAGCGCCCCAGCACCAGCAAAAAATGTCAAGCTTAACCATATGCCAATTTCATTTGTGGATAACATTGTATATACTCACCAAAACTTGGAAGCCATATATGTGTATATTACAGTTTGATTAAAAGGCACATACTTCCTATATCCAGTACTTGAAGCACTCACACATTTCTTTGCCATGACTGCAGTGTCAAAAAACCTCACCGGCCTGGACTATGTTATTACATATAGCAAACTGTGACATGAATTTGCAAAATGAATTCGGGACAGTCAAAAGTAGTAAGTAAATTAGGTATGTAGTTATAATCAGAAATACAACCTTAAGAAATTATTTAACATGTTGATACACACTTTTAAATTGACTTAGAAACATGCTTAGAAATATTTTTTATATATATATATTACCATCATTTGCACAGCAACGTGTTAAATATTTCTCTGTGATGGATCAAAAAGAAAAAAAACCTCATTAAAAAAATCATTTAAAATATCTAAAATTATGGTCACAAAATAGTAACTACCTTTTAAATTTTTTATTATTTACAAAATTCGAATATAAATTCAAACAAATTCTCTCAATTTCCCTCACCCCTCCAACCATCAAATTGTACAACCTGATGATTAATTTCCTTTCTCCCCTGCACTTCCACATCCCTCTGCTTCCAGCCTCTCCCACTCCCCTTGGATCCTTATACTCATTCTACAGTAATGGCTTTATACAATATTTATCCTTGTGGGACTAAGTTAGTTCACTCAGCATAATGCTCTCCAGTCCCTCCCAAGTTAGGTAATAATTTACAAAGTTATTGCTCCTGCATGCTGTAGAGTATTCTATTGTGTGAATGTACCATAATTTCTCAATCCATTTGTTTGTGGTTGGACATTTAGGCTGTTGCCATGTTCTTGTGATGGTGAATAATGCTGCTATGAACATTGGTGTACAAATCTCAGTTTTTGCCTCAGTTCTCATATTTTCAGGGTATATTCCAAGTAGTGGAATAGCTGAGTAACTACCTTTTTTTTAAAAAAAAAAAGATGACTATCATAAAAGACACAGGAAAATATGATGCAAAATTCTACATGTTACAGTGTGTTACATAGCTGTTCTTCCATAAGGTGTTACTTTAAAAGCTTTCTGTTTATCTAATCACTATTTATATGACTTAGCCATAGATGGTGGTGGATTTGGCGGCAGACAGAAATCTCCAGTCAATGATTTCACAGGCTCACCTCTAAGTTCTGTGCCCTTTCTTTGCTAAGAGGAGAAAACAGAAAATTCAGGTTGTTGTCATCTGCTAAGGATCGAAGGTCAAAGTAGTATTTGGCATAAACACTAGTAGGAACATTAATATTAAACTGAAGTAGCTCCAAAAAATGCCTTTCCATCTCATTCCTGGAAAAGAACAGAACAAAACCAACATAGGACAATTTTAGTCAACTGGACTATCATCAACAACACCGTTCTGAGCTAGTGGGATGGTTCTAAATTCTATTTTGAAACAAATAAGGCTACCTCACTAGATTAATCCACTAACGCTCAAACAAGGTCCAGCTATTTGTGGTCCTTTCTGTGCCCCAGCACGGAGAGTCTCGGAGGAGGAGAAAGGTGAGGGCCCTCTCCTGTGTGTGTGCTTCTGACTCGGGGACTCATTCTTCAGAGTTCCATTAGTGCAGCTGTAAGATTCATACTCCAGGCTCACTCACTGCCCCACTATAGTGAGCAGATGAAAGGAGTGATGTATGCGGTTTATTAGCTCTGAAGAACTTGCAGACATTTTCACCAGGCTGATAACAGGAAGGGGCTTATTGAAGTAGAGACACACCAACAAAAGCAGTGGGCACATCACCACGGCAACAAATGGATCCATCGAGAGCCACTGCTATTATCTCTGAGGGGAAAACTCTTGAGGCAACAAGGATTTGTCTCAAATAAATATATAAATAAATAAGCAAGCTACATTTGCTCAGGAGGAAGCCCCTCCTCCTCCTCTTCCCTAGTCCAAGAGGGGGCTGCGGCAAGTTTCTGCTCACCTTCATTTTACGAAGGTGAGAAACAGTCAACATGACAAAACAAGATCTACTCTTTTTTAAGCTTTGGAAGACAGAGAGATTAAAGACAGATGTCCTGGCTACACAAGAGGACCTCTCACAGGGCACTGGACTGTAACTCAGGTGCCATTTCACCTGTGTAGACACTGAAGCCAGGAGATGCTCTGAACTCATCCATCCTCCTTAAACAGGGGTGGACACGTGGAAACGGGGACACATACATACAAACAAACACACACACACACACACACACACTTTCAAAGGGCCAGTTTAATAAAATGGAAAAGGAGAATACAAGTAATTAAATAAAACTAGAGTGCCTGTTACCAATTTCACAGCGAATATCTTTTAGTTTCTTTCCTTAAAATTTTAAACTATGAGCCACTGAAAAGGCTAACAAATGCTTCGCATTCTCCCATATGGAAGTGTAGTTAGAACATGAGCAGAAATGTGGTTATTTCATTTACTGAACTTAAAAATCCGACTAACCCTACTTCCTATAGCCTTAAGTCTATAGAAATGTAAATCAGATAATGTTTTGATAACCAGCTAATCAGGACCTAATTTACTAAGGCATAAATGCACTTCACTACCCCTTTTATAGCTTCTACACTAATACATTTTAATTGTGTAGAAATACAGTACTTCACAGGATTAACATGTCTATTAATAGAGGTTTAATCACTGAAGGAAAGCATTATGCAAACAGAATATGCATCTGGTTTTGTTGTGTTTTTCTTTTTTAAAATTACTAGATGGCTGAATAGCATGCCATTTACAAGCATAGCAGATTTCCTGAGCAGCAGCTGCTCAGGGGGACTTATTCTTTTGAAGGGCAATATATTATCCCAGGACATACAGAAACTAGCAAATCAACCTTGATCTCTAAGTTTACACTCACAGTGAGACCATTACTAACTGTAGTCAACAGCATCTGGAGGAAACAAAAGGATATGAAACTTTGTTGTAATGCTAATTTTTAAGACCATAAACAAGAGCAACCTGTTTATAAGTATAGCTCCTGATGGTTCATAAACAAAAAGCACTGGTTGCAATTACTATTCTTGTGGCAAGGCCCTGATCCTTTGGTTTCTGTAATGAAAATCTGTGAAAACCTATGCATTTCTCTTGTCCTCTGCTGCTGTAACTACTGCTAGGGTCCCACCCAGGGCAGCTGCAGGTTAGAGGAGACAGCTGCAGGTTAGAGGAGACAGCAGCTCCCATGATGGCTCAGCTCCTACAATTCCCAAAACTACTTCAATTAGTTGCAATTCATTTGGAGATCTTTGCTGCCACACCCTTATCTAAGAAGGCTGCCAGCAACATCAAGCATGATCATTTGGTTTACACCATTATCAAAGTGGTCATTTCTACTAAAGCCACTTCAACAGCTACCACACCTCACAGGTCTCCTTTTAATCAGAAGACCATGCATAGTTTGGTAACTGCGAATAATGTCTCAGCTAGAGGAGTAGTAGTCAAAGGTAACAAGGACAAAAATCTCTTACGCTGCTCAATATAATCAAAGAAGTCCTTTCATATATATACTTAACTGTCACCCACAAAGATATTTTCAGTCAAAGGGGTAACTGAGTCTGCTCTAGCTCCTCCTGCCCACTACTCCCTGGGACCTCAGAGTCACCAGAGTGCCAAGATCAGAGGCCCTCATTTAGTGTGGCATTTGGACTTAGCAGGCAGTGTTAGAGTAGCCTCATTACTAAACAAGGTTCCTTCCACTCTCAGTCAGCTTAAGACCTCACCAGGCTGAGTGTTCCAGACAAACCAAGAAAGAGAACTACCAAACCCATCAGACACATTTCTAAACAAATACAATAGGGGAAAAGACAGAAACTGGAAGGATTTGAAACATTCATTTTTGTCTTACACCAACAAGTGCCCGTCTGCTTATCTTACAGTTTCTGCAACAATATGGTTTGATTATGGAAAAAGAAGGGAAGAGAGGGGATTAGCAAAGGCAAATATACAATGGGTGGTATGTGTGATTCAGGCTGGAGCCATAACCCTGTAATAGCCCAGAGGCAATCTAATCTGCTAACATGGGAAAAAACTTATTTCAGAGGCCAGAGGTATGCTCCTTAAAAGGGAGCTAGAACTGGCAGTCTGCTTTCAAAATGCCTTAAAGGATAGTAAAAACAACACTATTATGATAGGAAGCTTAAAAAACTGTTTGCCAAAAACCACCAGAAAAATACTTTATTACAAGAAGATTATTATAATAGCATATCACAAACTATTAATTAATAATGGAAAAGATGAATAAATGCACTACAGCTGGAGAAAAAGAACATGTCATTTTATGCCTATTTCTGTTTTCAGCATAATGTTATCTTTAAAAATATTTATTAAAATGTATACTCTATGGGAGCAAATGAGGTATTTGAAAATGGTTAGAAAGTTCACCAAAACCTTCCAAACTCACATGTCCTCTACTGTAATGTCCTTGAGGATCTGGCAGTAGTCCACATTCCATACAGCCTGATCGTCCCACACCTTGGAGGCAAGAAGAATGGCTCCCAAAACAATTCTTTTCCAGTTAGTGGGACAAATGTCGATCTCAGCATAAGTTAAAAGCCTTTCTAAGTAAACCTGCAAAAGTAGAGCACTGGTCTTTGATTTTAGTTCAATTTAAGTGCTGTGATAAGAATGATAATGATATTCTGCATCTGTTTTTTACTAGGGAAAAAATGCCTTTTATTCTTAAAATTCTGCAGAGACTTTGCTTAGTCAGCTAAAGTAAGAGATCTTATCCAGGAGGAAGTTAAGATACCTGTCTGTCCATGCAACTGTCTGGCCCAGCTTTGATCACATGAATAACTGGACATCTCTGCAGAGGACGCCCTGAAGGGAGGCACTCTGAGGACGTGCAGACTCAGGGGATTAACAAGGCCAATAGAGAGTCAGCCACATGCAATCTACTATGCTGGGGTGGATAACGACTTTATAGGTATGCACTGTTTAAATATGTAATTCTGAGCACAGCTTCATCCGCTACTTTTTATGATAACCAATCCTTTGGTGGCACTAACTTGAGGATACAAACTAGCAGTCAAGAGCGCCTCCCAGTGGCCGCTATGCAGTGCAGCACCCTGGGTGGCTTTCGCATACTCCAGTGCTCAGGGCTTTTGCAGGGAAGACCTGGATGCAAAAGCATCTTGGACCTACACTGACATATCTCCACTATCATCCATGATACTCCTTTTCTGTTGATTGAAAAAGGGTACAGACCGAGAGACCTACTAATTTCTCTGTCCCTCCAATTTCTCTAAATCTGCCTCTTAGTTTGTGAGGTGGTTTCATGACTTTATTGTCATCAAACATCTATTCTACAGAGAACACGACAAGATTAAGTCAATCAAAGGAGGCAGAGATAAACACTGATTTGTTAACCTCAAAGAGTGCTCTGCAGAAGAGTACATTTACTATTTTAACTTTACAATAAAGACAGAAAGTTAATTTTCAGAGTATGTCCACTCTCTAATGATTGCCAGGCTGACAAATACTGAATTATGTCATCAACTCAGATTCTTGCTCTCAATCCCTAAAACTCAGTGCTCAGAATTATCCCCCAAAGGCACTTAAAATTGGTACTCACTCTACTTCCTGCCTCTTTACTGGCAAACCAGTTATATGCTGGTTATTTATCTATACCATTGGCTCTTCTGTGTCAAAGTCTTATCTTCCTTCCTAGCAGATCCACTCAGGACCACTTCTGCAGCATTATCACACCTCCTTTTGAATCTTTGTTGAGTTTCTCCCTGATGTGAACTAGGAATGTATAGCCCCTAGAATGTTCTTCTCTCATTCCCAGTACCCTCTCTTGATGCTAACTGTTCTTCTCCCACTATCTCAATTTACTTCAGTCCACTGCCGCTGTCACTCCACTGAAACTACTCTGCCAAGGCCATCAACACCTCCACACGTACGAGGCAGAAGAACACCACTCTGGAATTCCACTGCTCCCCCTGCCGCTGCCTCATCTTCCCCCATCAGCCGCAGCCCAGTTGCTGTGGACAAAAATCTATGTACGAGTCACCACTCTCCAAACTGTTAGGGATGTGACTTTTTATTGAGCCTTCACTTCTCACCTATATCTCTGTCAGTTCTATTTCTCAACTTCATTCCTTCCAAGCATTACCTTTTTTCCATGGCCTAAAAGCCAGAAGGCCTGAGAAGGTGGATCTTTCTCCCACATTATTCCATTTCTCACTTGGATCATCTGGCCTTGCCATTCCTTCACCGGGTACCCGTACCCATGTACCATCTGTGTCTGCACTTCCTCCCCTGGTCTTGTCTTTTCATGATTTGTGTTCTCATTTCATTCTGGTCATTATCGCAACATTACTTCACTACAAAAGCTCTTCTGGACTGTGCTAATACACTGAAAATCTATAATCCGTCTTTTATCTTTCTCCTTTGCTTTATCTTCTTGGTATCATTATCTGATATACTCATCTTATTAAAATGATTAAAAAAGAAGTAATGGTGGTCTTCCTTACTAGAATATACTGACATTAAAATGAGAACTTCGTTCAACTCCCTCTGCCATCTCAGTATTTAAAGCAGTGGTCGGGATTAGGCACCCAGGGAGCACGTAGGAATGAGCAAATTCTAGCTTAGACTTTGCTCCCTCACAGGGCCATCAAGTCATAACATGTCTGAACTTGCATGCTTCTCTCAACCAAGGCCGATTTCTTTTGTGTCCCCTCTTTCTAGGTATGAAGTACCACTCTAGCTCTTGTTACATGCACCTCTTGAAACACCTGTGTCTGATCTAAGGCCCACTAACAGGTCTCTATTCCCAAGTTAGGTACTGACCTAATATTCTCCCCCCTAAGCCCCACCCCAAAACCAGGCAGTTGAAGTTCCTCTATAGGTTTACTATAGAAAAAGAATAAAATCATGTAACTACTTCTCATTTGAATGGAATTTATTATTCAAAATAACAAAAATCTTACCAGAGTAATTCTATAAGGATGATACACAAAGGCAGTCAGCAGGCTAAGTGGCATAGTTTTCCCAAGCACTGCCGTCCTAGGTAACTTTAAGAGCAGACACAGGAGGGGAACAGGGATGGGCTAACACCCATCATCCAAGGAATTGAGGTGGTTGTTCTCACACATCAGAACTGCCTGGACACTATAGTTTAAGACTCATCTACGACCTCCACTGACTTCAATCTCACCTGTGAACCAGGGAGTCTTGTTTTTGTTCCCATTTCCACACAGGCCACATGTGTGTGCACGTGGAGACAATGTATTCTCTCCTACTGCCTTTAAGAGCAGTTGTTTTGTGATGGGAAAAGCAATAGCAACATTTTAACTATGACTATAAAGCTTGAGTGAATGCACTTTCCTTTGACAGATTTCTCTATATTATAAAGTTATGATGAAAATTTCAGAAACCTACTTTCATTTACTTTACAAGACTGTATCATGTTGTATAAGACAGAAACTTCTACAGATGTGTGAAAAAAGAAACAACTCACCAAAGTTACTATTGCACATTCAGCTGTTAGCTGTGCAGCACTGAAAAGAGTACGAACAAATCTGTAAATAAATTTGTGTTCAGGATCATGCTTAAAGTATTCTTCTGGAACCTTTTCTCGCTGAAAGAAAAGAAAAAAGATTAAATATAAATGTCCTCTGAAGAAAAATACTAATCTTAAAATATCTGTGTTCAAATTTGTGTCCACATGCTCTTAAAATACTTTCAATTAGCTACTAAGTCTTTGAATCCTTTAAAAGTAAACAAAGGAATCTTAAGATTACATATTTCAGTACCCACCACCACCTAAAGTATGCACTGAGAAAATTTATGTTGTTCTTTTCCACACCTCAACCTGTAAGAGTCCTATTAAAATAAAAAATATTATTAGGTTTGGAAGTCTTAGGAACCAGCTACCATATTTCTCTGCTCAACTTTGAAGAATTAACTCTTTTCGCTCTCTGTAACTTGAAGGCAGTCTAGCACAGTAGCCATCAGTGGCTATGTCAGACTTTTATGTTCCCCAATTCAATTGTATAAGTTATTTTTTGTCATTTGAATCAATTTAAATATAAAGTGTTCTAATTTTCTTCATAGACATCTTACATAGTTGTTAGGTTTTCTATATACTATTAAAAATTATCTTTTAGAGAGGCAGTCTTTAAGAAGGATCTCACTGCTTTCTCCTAGATCTACAATAAAGTACTATGGATATTGGGGAGTAAAAAAGATCTTCCAAAAAGGTCAGTCTTCTGCTATTTGGCATGCCAGCTTGCCGGCTCACCAGCTCACCTTGGCTCATAGGTGACTTTAAGCACACACTCAATGCTGCTATTTCTCCAACAACACTCCACAGGGGAGGGTAAGGAGGTCACACTGGAAGATGATTTTTATTTTAGCTGGAAGAGTATTTTCCTTCTAGCAGTTTCACAGCAAATCAGCATAAAATAAATAACTTTATGAAAGAAAATCACAACCACAATAATAATGATACTTACTGTGAGTGGATGTGATCTCTCATCAAAAATATCCAAGGACCTATTTGCATCTCTATAAAATAAGAATATACATTTTAAAAAATTGAATCTGTTAGTATCTTAGTAAAATACAAGCAAGGACTAGAGGAGGCTGGCAGGAATTTAATCTTCAACAAAGCAGTTTAACAAATTCTTCTCCTTTGGTTGCCTAGTGGCAAAAATCTTTTAAAACAAACCTTCTTCCAACTGTAAATAGGCAATAAGCAGCGTTTTATTATTTTGTTTCTTTAATACAACAAACTGCAAAAGACTATAGGAGCAAGTAGATACAGCCAGACATTTAAAATTATTTGAAAATGCATAAATCAATGTCATAGTTATCATTCATTTTTCATAAGAGTTATTTTAAAAAATAAAAATAAAAAATTTGTGTGCATGTACTGTCAAATTGGATCTGACCGGTACAGGAGGAGATTGTCCCTCCTTCTCCAAGAAAGCATCTGGTGGATTCGAACCGCACACCTCTGGGATTGCAGTGCAGCTTCATGCCACTAGGGCAGCAAAGTTCCCTAAGAGATATTCTTTTTAACACAATGGTTCACAAGACACAATTCTGTTCCTCAGAGGGTATCTGTACATGCCTGGAGACACAAGGTTTGGAGGTAATACCGGCATCTAGAAGACAGAGGTTTGCTGGTTTGTGTCACTGAGTAAACCCCATGGGCCAGAACAGAATTATCCCATAGGGTTTCTTGGGCTGAAGGTAACCTTCATAGGAGGAGGCTGCCAGGTCTCCAGACAGGCTTGGGGGGTGTTTAACCAACAGTTAGTAGTCAAATGCTTAACCATTACACCACCAGGGCTTCTTAGAGGCCAGGGAAGCTGATAAATATCCTGCAATACCCAGCCTCCCAAAGCATCTACATCCATGGAGCAACAGTGATAAACCCTGTGTTAACATACAATGAATTTATTTTTTTAATTCTGAATTTTAATTTCCCAAACAGTAAATACTGACAAGCAATATAATTGTCTATAATTTGAGAGGGAAAAAATACTGAGACAAAAACCAAATTACTTACTTTAGTATTGTAACAGAGCACTCTATAGCTTACTCCAATAATGTCCACAGATATTACCTAACACTAAACTTGTTATCATGTAAAGTAACTAGCTGAAATAACATGACTGGTTTTAAAAGAACTCACCTGTTCTTTATGTGGTAGTATATTGCTAAGGTCACACTGTAGAAGGAAAAGAAAAGAATTTGTAACAAATTATTTTCTCTTTTTGTTTGTTTTAACTAAGGAAAGGGGAAAAGGTTTCCTCATCCTAAAGTTCAGAACACCTCCTCATGGGCCTTTTTTAGCTCTTTAGCTTTTGGCAAAAACAATTAAAATGCTAGGCAGTATTCCATTAAAAGACATGTGTCTACTGAATATTATGATATATGATTACATAGTTCTCCTCTGTCATTTGTCCTTCTACTCATAGAACCTCTGATTTAGTAGAAATTACAATATTTATATACCTGCTTAAGCTCGATCCATATAATTTTTATTTTCTATGCTTTTTGAAAAACTTGAGACACTGTAATTTCAGTTTATTTCTAGTTTATCATCTTCCTACTTTACCCATTTTTCATCATTTCCTAAAAGGAAGTAACAAAGGTACTTTATGTCAGATAGTATCATTTAAAGCCAACTTGCAGATCTATTAGTAGAAAGTTTATTAGCAAATCCAAGTACCCATAAAATTGATGATGGGTCTAAGCTAGTCTTATATAAACAGTGCTAGCAATGAAATTTACTACTATACAGTATAATAACGGCACGCATTCCCAAACCACTTTTAATGAATTATTAATGAACAGATACGATTCCTCAAATACTCTAAGTCACGGCACTACTAAATTACTCACAGCTGTTGTATATGAGAGAACAGAGAATTTCTCTGGGATTTGTTTTATGCTTCCATTTGCCCTCAGTTTAAAATGCAGCTCAAAAGAATTGAAAGCAGGCAAATATCAATCTTAAAAGTTTATCAAAACACAAAAAAACAAATGCACAACAACAAAAAAAGTTTATCTACACTTTTTAGTTTAGCACTTTAAAAAGACTCGCAACTTCTCTGAAAATGTGTGTTGAGTATAAAGTAACTTTTAAATTAACAAATAATAGTATTAGGATCAAGGATGGATACTTCTATAGCATTTCTAATACGTTCGCCTCTAAAACAATTTTAACAGTAGAGAATCTGAAGTTGTATGCTGAAAAGGACCGCCAAACCTTAGATGCCACTTAACCCAACAACCCGTTTTATAGGTAAGGGAATCAAGGCTTAAAATCATCATCAGAAGCACCTTTCTACTGAATGAGAGTCACTGGAGGATCTTTAACAGCTGATCCCTGGCATTCTGATTTACTGGCGCCGAGAGCGCCAGAATTGCTTTTTATATCTTCCTAGGCGATTATAACGTGCAGTAAAGTTTAGAAACTAATGAGTTAGGGCTCAGGCCAGAGTCATAGGGGATGCTTTTGTGGATATATTATGCTTCATAACCTTTTCCAATTTATGAAAATATTTATGAGCATATAGGTATGGAGCAGGAGCTTCAAGTTGTATGCAGACATATATTTTGGGAAAAGTTACATAAATGATTACAGAATAGCTCACTAACCTTCCTTAAACCCAATGCACTATTAAATTTCTTCTGCCTTATACTAAACAATCTTTTCAATGATTATCTTTAAAACATAAACACACAAACCCCCACACACCCTCTAAAAAACTTAACCACCGCAAACTCAAACTCCATCTACTTCCAAAAGCAAATTTCTAAAATGCAGCCCATTTAAGTCAGAAAGCAGCTTAAAAATGCCATCTATGTGAGAATAATCTTTAACAAAACAAGCCACTATTGAATTACACACTGAAACATCAGCAGCTTCTTGTGTTTTTTTTAAAAAAAAGCTGGAGAAATCAAGTCTTTTTTTTCCACACATGGATTTAGTACCTTGGATGAATAAGAACATTCTGTGATTACTCATTAGGTGCCAAAGCTCTGGGTTCGGATTTTACTGTAACACAATTTCATTTTTACTGGTACAACTGAGACACAAAACTTCTGAACCTGCTGTTTTTGAAAAGTCAGTACATTAGAAACAAAAGTAAGTTTATAAGGGTGAAAAATAAAATTTGGGATATCAATACATTTCCCAAACTGTGTTCTGCAAATCAGCCCTTGTAACCAATTGATTCCAACATATAGTGACCCTCCACTGGGAGCCAAGGCCGTAATCACGGAGGAGGAGACTGCCCACCTTCCCCTTGAAGAGCTGCTGTTCAACTCGGAAATGTACATGCAGCCTGTGGGTTAGCACCAAAACTCCCCACCGCCAATGCCACCAGGGAGCCACAGAGATGCTAATGTTTCCTAGACAACCCCAATGGAGTCAGGGAGTTCTTATAAAAAAGAATGGGATTTTTAAACATTTCTTGCTAACCTTGAAATGTTCTGAAAATGGATCTCTAATTGTAGACTGTGAGATAGCCCCAGAAATGAACAGTTTCTTTCATCAGCATGACACTGTTTGTATTTGGTTAAGGATAAAACTGACAATAAGGTGTTTCCAACACTTTGTTCCTTTCACTGTTCTGGGTGACACAAATTCCACCGTAAAGAAATTAAACTGAGATTTCACAGAGGAACACTGCAGAAGGAAAAAGCTTAATGGGGCGAAAAACAAGTCAGTGAAATGTAAATGCAGATACACTCTGGTGCCAGCAGGGGACAAGCTGTCCTTCCAAGAGCAGCTTCTGCGGTAGTAGATACTGTTTCAGGCTTGTCATTCATAAAGAATGGGGTAGGTTGCTGTTTTGGGGCTCCTCACCACCCAAAAACCTAAAAACAGCCAACAGAAAGCACCTCCTCAGTATAGTCAACAATTCCTGATGACATAAATCCATCAACTAAAAAGGGATTTCCTGAGATTCTTCATTTGCTAAATTGCCTTCCCTTCTACTATATATTATAAAACTAAAATGTAAATTAAAATTCCTATTTACATCCTTGAAATCAACATATACTTGACACCAGTTTCTTGAAATGGAACACTACAAAGGACACGCAAATGCCTACACCAATTAAGTATAGCGCTTGCCAAATTTTAGCACCAGAGGGGAGTCTGTTACTCAACTTTGGGAACCTAGTTATACTCACCATTTTATTGTCGTTCTAAGATTGGGCTGGCTGACTGTGCTGTCATCTAGAAATATTGTGGAGCATGAGCTATACTTTTTAGTAAGCTGCCCTGGAGATACCTGAAGGGGAAGGGAAATAGAAGAAAATGTCACAGTAAGTTAAACCTATAAAGTTGTGTTGTTCCTTCCTTAGTTAAAATGTCAAATGATAAAACATTAAATTTTTTTTTGCACTTTATTAACTGCCTAAATGTGATATCATGTGGCTAGCTCTATGGGAAACTCACTGGACCAAGAAACCTTGACAGAAAACGGTGGAGGAATGAGTTATCAAGTACTGTCCTTACTATGATATCTATAAATCAAATCTGATGAGCATCTATGACAAATACTATTCCTATGACTTTCGGCAACTATTATTTGGAGGAATAAAATTTATATCTATCTCCTATGGTTTAAGCTATTTAGCTAATATATAATTTCTTTTCACGATTTAAAAAATATAGCATGAAAAATGAAAATATCAAAAGTTTACAGCAGAATGAAATCCAAAATCTCTGTAAATGTTCATTAAAATTCTTAAAATAAAAAAAGATAAGGTTTCACTGATTTTCCCCCTTAAATTTCTATACTATTGATTTACTGCAATAAAATGCAATGCCTCAAGTGACAGTAATAGAATTCTACTGCCATAAACAAGAGCCAAAAGCTAATAAAAGTAGTAAGTACATTAGTTCCTAAGACTGTGCTGAGCAGGTGACGTCAGAGAGCCAGTGGCTGCTTTGGGCAGGGCTGCTCTGCCACCAACATGCTAGTGAACCAGAGGTTTCTCTGGGCCTGTGTTTCTTGATCTAAAGGAGGAAAAGGACACTGCTCTAAGATACCCTCATACCCAAAACCCAAACAACAAAGCAACCTTCCTCTCAATGTGACTTTTATGTCATGCTTAAGAAAACTGCCATTATATTATTCAAATGGAAAACTCCAAGAACAGTTCCTGCTCATCTGAATACTTTATTAGCTTTATTCTGAGTTGTCACAAGTCAATACACTTTGCACTCATGCTATTTTGTCTGCCTGCTTTATTCCTCACGTTCCAAGAACCACATCATAAATTGTTTTTCCACACCCATGCATCTAATTTAACATTTGTCATAAGGGGCCAACTGCCTGCAGGATGGCCACTGTCATAAAAAGGTCTTCTGTCAGGAAGGCAGGAGGTTACTTTGTTTGGGGCAAATGCTATGTTTAACAAGTACTTCACAAGCTACTTGAAAAATCAATTACCATTTACAATTTAGAAGGTCAATCTTACTACAAACAAGTATTAATAAGAATTTATCCTCATTGATACAGAAGTGCCAATGAACATGAGGAACCCTCTAGAGAAATTAGTTTCAACACACTCTAGCCATTTACTTGCAAAGAGTTCAAGAACTTAGCAACAAATTCTAAAACAGTCTAAACTAAGTTAAAACAATAATCATCTTTAAAAACAATGCCAATCTTGGTCACTTTAAACAGTTGAACATAACAGCATTCTTTAAACCTCAGATTATCAACAATTTTACTATTATAATTTAAAAAAATTTTTACATGTTTGCTCATTCAGATGAACCTTCCTTTCTCTCAATACAAAATCCTTTAACATGCTATTACACTCCCCATCAGGATTCACTATGAATCATGACAAAATGAAAAATAGAAATCTAGTTGATGTCTTTCAAAGCATTTTAAAATTGCCAGTAACAATAATCAGAAATATTTGTATAGTATATAAAATGTCATTTTCCTTCTATCATTTTACTGTAATCCACATTTCTTATTAATAAAAAGTCTCAGATGTTGTATTTTTGAAAGGAATTAATATGGGGACTAACTACTCCCTCAAGCCACAAATTTCTAAATGGTATCTAAACTCTGATGTTTCTTACCCTGCTCAGTCAATATATTATGTACGTTCCTATTCTCAAAAATATATCTACAAAATGAAAAGTGAAAATTCATTCATTCAGCTCTTAGTGGAAGGAGATCTCTGTTAAGGTCACCACTGTTAGGGCTTTGTATGGCATACATTATCTGAACCTAAAAAAACTCCAACCAAAAAGCCACAGAAAGGAGGAGGGGGAATAGAAGCAGCATAACAAAATGCAGAATAGATTGGAGAGTTTTAGTATTTTCTCTTACATAAACCTTCACCCCCTATTATGAATGTATTATTTATTTGTCTTTGAATATGTAAGTCTAAACATTTAAAGTTTTTAGATTGTGGTCTTACAGCTTTAAGGAATTTGTAGACTTTCATGATTTAATAAATCATGAAATAAATAAATCAGACCAACTTCTGGTCTACTACTATCTAGACAGAGTCAGAAAAACACTAAACACTTTAAAAAAATTATTCTTGGCGTCCTACTGCTTAAAAATAGATTAAAGACTATATTTTCCAGGGAATGGCTTTTTTAAAAGCTAGCTATTCTCAAATGTGGTGACCAGAAGGATGCATGCAGAAATCCTCTTGCTGCTAAATATATAAGTAAGGAATATACTCTAGTCACTCTTAACCACTCCAACTTCTCCATCTCAAAAGTACCCACACGACACAGACTAGAAGATGGCAAAGTTAAGCCTCAGAGAACAGCCTGGATGTTATTGTGGATCACAATCAGACTACATTCCCCCACCATCTTGCTTAAGAATGTTTAGACTGCGCTCTTCTGTGCTTTAATTCTGCTGGCTCACAACTTCACTGAACTATACTGACAAGGACAGAATAACCTGAGCTGTAAAACACGACTATCAATTTAGTGCTCATTTTCATTATTTCGGGTGGTTATTGGCACATGGGGCAAAAACCAGTATTAATTATTCACTCAGTACAAGTAAAAGCAGCAGAATTTTACAATCTACCCAAGAGAGAAAGGACAAGGGGGCACCTCAATAGGAGGCATAGGCTAAATGCCAAAAGTAGGCAAAAAAATTATATTGAATTAATATGATCTTACTAGCTAAGATCAAGTATTTGTTGAAATCTTGCCTCACCCACTGACTTTTCCCATTGTGTTTAATGTCACTTGTTTTAGTTTAGCAAAACAATAAAAATATTTTTCTTTATAAGACACATTTTAGATATGCATATTAAGAATGAATTACTTTAAAAAAATAAAAAAATTAAAAAAAAGAATGAATTACTTTTAATGAACTTTAAAACTTAATCACTTAATACTTTATATATTAATGAAAACTAATTATCCCACCTACACTGTGCATCAGTTGGCCAAAATGGAAAGATGCCTGGTTTGAACAAAATTCTCTATCAAGGCCTTTGTAGGAAAGCGCAATATGCAAATTATATGGCAGACGTACTGATATAACAAAACCAAAAAAAAAACTCTGCATATAAAAACTTTAAACTCAGATTTACACCCTGAATCTAGGTCCTTTATTCTGCACTTGCATTAAACACAGATCTATTTCCTCTCCTCTCAAAATCTCATGAGAATTAAAGGTACTTCAAACAAAACAAAAAACATAATACAGAATTAAATAATCTCTTCTTGTCCTTTTGGCTAAGATCAAGTATAGAATATTAAATAAAGATTAAGAGTAAAGATAGCAGATGATTTTTAACAAGTATGTGAAGGACGAAGACCAAATACGAGTGTGGTAAGAGACCTAATGTAACAGAAGCAGCACCACCGTGTGCCTACATGGGCTCCCAACAGGAAGAAACAAGCTAGGCTGTTTTATAGAACCCAAGGCAAGCTCAAAAATCAGAGAATATAACGTACCCTGCAAGGTAAGGTGAAATTTACTCACTCTTCCAATGTTGCTTCTGGAAAGCAGGCAGCACTGCTTTTACTTTCCACACAGAAAACTGAAGATTATTCTCTGAAGGAAGTGAACTGGCTTAGAGGAAAGCCCCTAGACACTGACATTTCCAAATGAAAAGCTGGTTTGTCCCGTCCTCCCGAATCCTGTCAGTTAAACACTCTGTTCACAGGTGGTGTTTTCCTATTACTTATTTTTACACAAATAATGCGCACCTATACAGAACATAAAGTGTTACCTTCCTCCTCAAGCTATGCACATTATATGCAAAAGCATTTTTGTGTATGGGGACAGAATTATTATTGCTGTAAATATGAAATGTCAGAAAACAATGGTTCCTAACTGAAGGTATAAAAGAAAATAGAGAAATATCTTCAAAATTGTTTAAGTTCATTACACCCAAGAATTCTATAAGTCAAACAGGAGGATTTTCAGAACAACCAGATCTCCAGAAATGTCTACCCATATGCACTTTCTAGGGAAAATGTGCTCCAGTGAAATGAGGAATCACAAGACAACAGAAAAAACATGGGACCTAGGACATACAGGATTCAACACAAGAGGGCAGTTGTATGAACTTCAAAGGCCATCCCAGGAAAATAGCAAGCTGAGGGAAAATCTAGTCTATACTGGGGCAGAATGTCAAAAGGCTAGAGAAGGCTTTCACCAAGTAACAAATGGAACAGAAAACATTTTTGATAGGCATTTGACAAATGCTACATTTAGGTGATAGTGAAAGGAGTAACTGATATAAAACGAGTGAAGAATAAATTCAGAAAATATCACACACACATATTAAGGACTTTTATATGTAAGCTGAGAATGCTTTCTGAGGAAAAGGGGGTTCTTCTGAAGAAGAACAGAGGAATATTTGAGACAGAAGAAGAGTTGGCAGGACTTGGGAGGGGAGGGGTGTGTATGGAGAGGATTGAATAAGAAGGCAAGACTACTGTCTGACTCAGCAGTTACTGTTATTTGCATAGTCCTGATAACACAAATACTGATTTAATAAAAAATGTGATGTATCTCCAGGGAATGGAATGAGAAAAATAAGGTGATGGTGAATAAAAAAGTTATGTTTATACCTATGTGAGAGAAAGTCAATAGCTTGTGCAATTAAATTGACTTAGCTGTTACCATACTTTTGAACCTCTGTTTAAAAATTATTAAGGCAGATCTTTATTATCAAAATGTTATTACTGAAATGTAAATGTCAGAAATCTTAAAAACTGGCACAACTAAGCCAAAGATACTTATGAATAAATTTGACACTTGGGAAAACAGAAGAGATTTAGAAAATCCACATATAGGATCCCATGTGGACCATAAGAATTATGAATCACATAGACATACTTAGAACTCAAACCCTTAATTTCTTACTTTTCATGTTTACTTACATGGTTTAAGTGGTTGCTCTTCCTCTTTTCTCGTACTAAAAATAAAAAACATTAACTTATCAATTCTGATGCAAATTGCCATAAAAATTATAGTAGTGTCTACTGATCTGATAAATTAGCAATTATAACAAACCATTAAGGTGAAATTTACTCACTCTTCCAATGTTGCTTCTGGAAAGCAGGCAGCACTGCTACTGTTTATTTAAAACATCATAAAATTTGTAACTTAAATCACCTCACAGGATGAGACACATAAACTAAAATCTAAACATGCTTTTTTACTTCTGACCTACCAGATATTCTATATTTGGTATATATGAGGGAAACTCCATAAAGAGAAAAGGCAAAACAAATTAGTACAGGTGGGATATTAGTTAATTAGATGTTTACCTACTGCCTAACAGAACCATTTCCAGTTCAGATCCAGTTTATTTACATAAAAAATCATTATCTGGCCAGGTACAAATCTCTAGGTAAATCAGACTCCCTGTAAGCATCCTGAACCACTTATCTGATGTTGGTTTTGTTGTTGATTGCACAACTCATAGCAACCCTATGAACAAAAGGCCTGAAGCCTTTCTATAAGTATGGCTGTTTCTCCAAGTTCATAGTTTCCGGAGGAATGTGGTTTAGGAAGTGGATGCCACTCCTGCTCTCAAATCTGAATCAATCTTGGAGCTCCATCCACCAAACACTGCCCATGACGGGTAGCCAAGTATGGTGTCTGATACTTCTATGGCATAGTTGTTCATCATCACAGCAACTCCAAGTCACTTCAGTAGAGCAAATAGACAGATCACTGCTGTATCACTTAAAAGAATGGTCATCCCAAAAATCAACTGACATTTGGCGACTGGCCCTACTGCATTTTTAGATTCCAGCATGCCCAAATACTGGTGGATATCCACTAAATTTTTTTTTAACTAAACAGATATGTGGGTCTTCATACTACCAGAAAGTAACCCAATCTATCTTAAGTATGCAAATGAACTCATTTGCACTCCCTGAAGACTGAGGAACATGGAGAAGAAAACAAACCTAATGAGAAATGCTCTGTTCAAACCAGGCAGAGTAAATACACACCATCAAAATCCAGATTCGAAATGTACTCTTCCCCCCTTTAATTGGTCCTGTAATACTTTGGAAACCTCACTTTCCATATTCTGCTGTCATAAAATAATCACCTGGAAAGACTGGTCATGTTTAGCTCCTTAGCTTATTTGCTAGGATTTAATGTTAAAATAAGCAGGCAAACAGAAGTCCTGAAAATCCTGCAGTTCTGAGTGTTTGAACAGGATATTTACACCAGGTTCAAAATGAGGCAAAGCTTCTGGAAAACACATCAGAAAGAATGTTTAAGGTGATGTAGCCTGGATCCTTTTAATCTGGCGCTTGAGTGTGTGAAGAGTAGAAAATATTTCAGTGGCATAAATATGGGTGTGAGATAGGCTCATTTGGTTAATATATAAAATGAGGTCAAACACACAGATTCAATCCTTCGTTTTCTTTTTTTTTTTTTTGGTGCATATAAAAACATAACTGAAAACTAAATCCTAGTCACTTCTCTTTAAAACACCTGCTTTCTGGAGCAAGGGGAAAATGGGCAAGTATAAACCCATAACCATGTTCTAAATCATGTGGCCAATTACGTGTCTGTATAAAGAAGTATGGCAAAATGTACGTGAATATAAAGTCTATGTTCTGTTCACCAATGCAATTATAACATCACATGTTAAAATGAGGCAAATAAATGTGAAAATTGAACCAAGATATAAGTACACCTAAATAAATGTTCTCTGTAACCCATCTCACAAAATAAAAACTGAGTTTTCACTCTTCCTCCTTAAGAAACAAAATGAAAACACTGTCTTACCATCTGTCTGGGATTTGCTCAGGAAAATTGTGCTTGCCCTTGGATGGTCAGAAGGATTTGACTCAAAAGCTAAATCTGTGTAACAAGAAGAGACAAAAGGTATGAGAATTCAGTTGAGTACAAAAATAATTTTAAAACAGCTACATATCAATTCATTTTAATGGTCTCAGAAGATTTTAGTAATGAATAAGGGAAAAAAAGACAATTTAAAATGTCTAATCAGAAATCACAACAAACTGTGGCTGACTCTGAGAAGAGTGGGAATCCCAGAACATATGATTGTGCTTACACAAAACCTATACTTGAACAAGAGGCAGTCGTCAGAACAGAGAAAGGAGACACTGCGTGGTTCAAAATCGGGAAGGGTGTCCTCCAGGGATATATTTTGTCTCCATACCTTTTCAATCTGTAAGCAGAACAGCTCAGCCGGGATGCTGGGCTGTATGAAGAGGAATGTAGGATCAGGAAGATTCATCAACAACCTGTATTATGCAGATGACATATAAGTTTGCTGAAACTGAGGCGAGCCTGAAGTGCTTGCTGCAGAAGGTCAAAGACTGCAGCCTTAAATATGGATTGAAGCTCAACATAAATAAAACAAAGATTCTCACCACTGGGCTCATTGGCAGCATCATAATGAATGGTTAAGAGACTGTTAACAGTTTTAGTTTGCTTGGTTCCACACTCAACACTCTTGATACCAGCAGCCAGGAAATCAAGAGACGAATTGCATTGGGGAAGTCAGCTGACAGGGACCTCTCCAGAGTACTGAAGAGAAAAGACGTCAGGTTGGAGACTAAGGTGTGGCAGGTGCAGGCAATAATCTTCACAATTGCATGCTATGCATCAGAGAGCTGGACAATGACTAGGGATGACAGGAGAATTGATGCCTTTGAGCTGTGGTGCTGGAGAAGAGTGTTGAATATACCATGAACTGCTAGGAGAACAAACAGGTTTGTCCTGGAAAGGGTGAAACTGGCTGCTCCTTGGAAGCAAGGATTCTGAAGCTTCATCTGACATACTCTGGGCATGCTGCAAGGAGGGACCAGTTCTTGGAGAGGGACATCATGCTTGGGAGGGTAAAGGAACAGCGTAAGAGAGGAAGACCCTCAATGAGATGGATCGATTCAGTAAATGCGGTATTGGGAGAAGGTTTGTCAGAGACAGGTTGGCACAGGATACAGCAGTGTTTAGGGCTCTTGTACACAGGGACACTCTGAGTAGCAAACAACTTGACGGCACATAACAACAACAACGACAATGGGAAATTGCAAAGTTACACAGGATTTCTCTTTTTATGGGATAAAAGTAGGCCACAATCAACACTCTTGGCATAGTAATCAGGAAATCAAAAGATGAATTCCATTAGAAAAATCTGCTGTCTGGTCAGTCTAAAACTAAGGTGTGCCTGATCCAGGACCATGGTCTTTGCAATTATTTGCTATGCATCAGAAAACTGGACAACGACTAAAGATGACAAAAGAAGAATGTCTGAGTTGTGCTGGAGAAGAGTACGAAACATACTATGGTCCACCAAGAAAACAAGTCTTTTCTGAATAGGATGAAACCAAGCTGCTCCTTAGAGGCAAGGAAGCTCTGTATTACATACTTTGGGCAAGCTATCAGGAGGGACCAGTCCTCAGAGAAGGACGACATGCTTGAAAGGGTAGGGGGACAGTGCAGAAGAGGAAGACCCTGAACGAGATGGATTGGAAAAGTAACTGGGGCATTGGGGGAAGGTATGTCAGAGATGGTGAGATTCCAAGCATGCTGTCTTCTGCCAAAGACTGGCCCTCCTAACACTGGCTACTCCAAGACGTATTTGGGCTTATGATTTTTAATGTAGGGAAAGTAAGACTTCAACAAAATTAACTCATGTTTTAAGGTAAACAGTCCTCAAAATCAGAATGAATCTATGAAACAGACATAGAATACTGTTTTTCCTCTAGGATTCAGACAATTGTCAGGTTTTTTTCTTTTTTTATTTTATTTTAATTCGTGTGTGTGTGTGTGTGTGTGTGTGTGTGTGTGTGTACCGTCAAATCATATTTGACTGGTACAGGAGGAGATTATTCCTCCTTCTCCAGCAAAGCATCTGGTGGATTTGAACCGCACACCTCTGGGATTGCAGTGTAGCTTCTTGTCACGAGGCCACCAGAGCTCGCCATGGTCTTTTCAATTGCAGAGATTTAAAAATACTTTCAACTCCAACAGAATGAGAACTGAGGCACAGAGACTTGTACACCAAAGTTCAAAGCAGTGTTATTCACCATCAAAAGAACATGGAAACAGCCTAAATGTCCAAGCACAATCAAATGGATTGAGAAATTATGGTACACTCACAGGATGGAATACTAAGCAGGAGCAATGATTTTGTAAATTACTACCTAACTAGGGAGGGACTACAGAGCATTATGCTAAGTGAACTAACTCAGTCCCATAAGGACAAATACTGTATAAGACCATTATCGTAGAACACGTACGAGGATTTATGGGGGGAGCAGGGAGGAGTGAGGATTCATGGGGGTTAGGGAGGAGTAGAAAGGTGAGGATGGGCAGGGGTGGAGGGGTTAATCACAGTGTCGCACAACTTGATGGGAGGTGGGTGAAAGAAATGGGAAGATTCAGTGTAAAAATCAATGTAGAGAAATAAGTATAAAAGAAAAAATTCAACTTAGAATCAATAAAATGTGTTAAAGGCAAAATATCTTAAAACTATACAACCTCAAATACTCAATGATTTTTTTTCAAAATATTAGAGAACAATCATCAAAAATTATCTGAGTTAGAAGCTGTATATTGATTTAGATATACTCCAATTAAACAGACGATGTCAGCGGTTCCTGGCTTCGACATCCATCTGCTTAAAGGCTGACTGCATTATCTGCTCTGTCACCCCTATACTCTACGTTACAGAAGATTCATGGCCCATATCACAAACATGTTTTAGGATTATCATGTTCACTCTGATTATTTTCTCTCTTATTTTTGAATACAGGGAGCTCTAGCAGCTTGCTGTTGTTAGGCACCACAGAGTCACATGTGACTCACAGCAATCCTATGAACAACAGATGTGAACCCTGTCCTATCCTACGCCATCCTCACATTTCCTGAACCCTGTCCTATCCTATGCCATCATCACATTTCCTAATGCATTAGAGTGCACAGCCTCAATTCACCTGTTCGAGGGTCTTCCTCACCTTCGCCAACCCTCTGCCTCTCCAAATACCATGTCCCTCTCCAAGGAATACCCCCCTCCTACCAATATGCCTGATGTACGTGAGGTGAAGTTTTATCATCTTGCCTCTAAAGAGAACTCTAGGTGCCCTTTCTCCAAGACATATTTATTTGTTCTTTTGGCATTCCATGGAATGTTTGTTCATCACTCTTCTCCAACACAACAACTCAAAGGCATCAATTCTTGTGTTATCCTTATTCATTGTCCAGCTCTCAGAAGCACAGCAAGTGATCAGAAAGACCATGGCCTAAATCATACACACCTTAGTTCTCAAACTGACATCATTATGCCTCAATAATTTTAAGAAATCCCTAACTGCTGACTTTCCCACATTTCTCCTTACAGAGCCCAGCCTCCCGGACAATATGTCCTGCATATAGATTGAAAAGGTATGGAGATAAGACACATCCCTGGCATACACCCTTTTCAATTTTGAACCATGCAGTGTTTCCTTGTTCTGTTCTGACGACTGTCTCTTGGTACAAGTATACATGGTTCAAATCTACCATTTACTCTTCAGGACAAAGAAAGGCAATCTCCTGAGTGATTTACTGCCTCTGAAAACTGCTGGAGGATCAACTATCAGTTCGTTCCAACTGGAAGGTACACAATATCTTATTTTAGTCCATTCTCTACCCCAATTAATTCCTATGTGAGAATCTTCAGTTGCCCTTGCCCCAAAGCACACAGCTCCCAGCAGAACCCTGGTACTCCCATGCTTTGAATCTGCTCTCCTAGCTGATAGAATGACAGCTGATAAACTATGCACTTCCTAGAACACAGATCAAGAAGCATTTGTTCCAACAGAACATGGTTTAAAATTAAGAAAGGTAAGATGTGCATTCTTTCTCCATACCTATCCAATTTGTATGCTGAATAATTCAAGAAGCTGAACTCTATGAGGAAGAATATGGAATATCAGAAATGATCAATAGGTTGAGGCAAGTTGTTGATGAGTCTTCCTCAAATCCTGTTGCCACATTATTACAAATGACATAACTTTGCTTCCATAAAGTGAAAAGGACTTGCAGCATTTGCTGCAGAAGATCCAATACAAATTACATCTTATCAAGAGGAAAAAATACTCACCTCTGAACCAATAGGCCACAAGACCGATGGAGAAAAGATTGAAGTTGACAAAAAGTTGACTTTACTGAGAGCCACAATCAACATCCTCCATGGCAACAAGAGTCAAAAGACATGTTACACTCAGAAAATCTGCATTTAAGGACCACACCAAAGTGTTAAAGAGGACTGATACCAGTTAAAAGACTAAGGTGTACCACCTGATCCAAGTCATGGTCTCTTCAATTGTTTCCTATCCATCTGAAAGGTGAACAATGAATAGGGATGAGAGCATTGATGCCTTTAAATTATGGCATCAGGAGAAGAGTACCGAATAATCACATGGACTGCCAAGAGAACAAATAAGTCTATCTTGGAAGAACTGCAACCAAAATGTTCAGTAGAGGCGAGGATGGGGAAACTGAGTCTTACATACTCTGGGCATGCTGTCAAGAGGAGTCAGTTCCTGGAAAAAGACATCATGCTGGGAAAGGGTAAGGATTAGAGAAGGAGAAGAGCAGTTTCAACAAGATGGACTAATAACAATCATCTCGAGCAGATCAGATTGTGAGGATGGCGCAAAACAGTGCAAGGTTCAGGTTTCTGTTCATAGTGTTATTCTTTTTTTTTTTAAACCAGTAAGTTTATTGTTTTATAAGAAGAGTCTAACTTTCACCATGTAAACAAACAGGATGAGCAATTTATTTTCTTCCTAGAGGCAGTTACCACTAGGTCATCATGAGGTATGAGGTGAGTGTTGAATCCAAACAAA